ACACCTATTATTTCTAGTTGGTAAATGATAAACAGTGAACCATATTCTGCTGGCTTCACTTAGAATAAACACAGAAGCTAATGCTACTGAGATCTGATGTCTTGCCCTTCTTGCATGCTTTCTAGAAACGATTACTTTCTTCCTTTCATCTCATTCTCCATTTTCTTAAGAAAATTGCAAATGAGACATAACATTTACAAGAAAAAGTGTTTGATGTAAGCTAATGAATCAGCAAAATAAACCTGCATAGTTCTGCCAGTGCTATTAAGAGTGTGAATTGAATGATCACCCCACCACTCCAGTTCTGCTTCCAGGACTTCCCTAAATTTTCAGCAGTACTGAACTGCTGCAGTTGTGCTATATATGGACTGGATTTAGACTGCTCAAAAGTGAAATGAAGTTCAACAAATCTGTTAATTCACACAGAAAATTACCATCAACAGTGTATTCTTTCATGTTTTCCAAGGGATTTCTACTCAATGGTTTAAAGATTTTTAGTGTGAATCGGGGTTTTGGCACAAATTTTCCTTTCAGGAGCTTCATTGGCTTAACCTATGTAGGCTGCTCTCTCTGCTATTAGAGAGACCTGTCATCTATTTAACAAACCAGGTGGGCGTGACAGATGTACCAAATAAACAGTGGGCCTTCCTCTCCAGAACTCAGAGCTGTGCATTAAACAGCCTGTTCAAGAAATGCATCACTGAGTTCTGGTGTGCTTCTGTTTTACAAGCAGAAATAACTACCTACAACTTCATTTAGAAGCAGCAGTCTAACAAAACTCACATTTTTCTTCAGGTCAGAGCCAGCAATATCTGTAATTTTAGCAATAGCAGCTGGAAGAATGGAATTTCTTTATTGATTAACCACACTGGCTGAATGATGTGTTGTCTCCTGAAATTTGTTTTATTCTCCAGAACTTTTCTTAGTGATAAACTTGCCCAGAGAACGTAAGGGTTTTTTTTTTTTTTTTTTAATGGAAGCAGAAATTAGCTTTTTAAAGAAATGTAGAAAATCAGTGCAAGTAGTTCCTCCTTGCTAAAATACATTAGCAAAATCAGGTGATATTGATCAAAAATCTTGTAAGCAAAGGAAATTAAGAATTATAGCAAGGAATTTTGGTACAGAAGTTACATAAATCTGTTCAAAAGTGTACGGGTGTTTGGAAAGCAATACAGCAGTCCTCAGCAATAAGTGCAGTTCTCAATATAAACTTTGCTAAGTTATCTCAGCAATTCTGTACTGTAATTTTTTCAATTAGTTTAAAAAAAATTAAGACAGTTCAAATTTAACAATTGGAAGTGTTGGTGTTAAAGTAGAAAAGTCTGCGAGGTCTCCATCATTTGATGCCAGCATTCCTGTATTTAAATATCGGTATTCAACAGAGATCTCCTGTGTGGAACTTAATTTTATCTTCAGAATTAACATAACACATAAAGTGTGTTATGTTAACATAGCATAAAGTTCTTCATTTGTGCAGAGGAAACCATCAATTTACATTGCTTAGCACTAGAAAAACATGAAAGCATCTTTTTTATGACATTGTTTTGCATCTGTTACTGAGATGTGTTTTTTAAAGTTCTGAAACTGAAAATGGGATCTGCTAGAGCTTGTTGAATCCAGTGGAGTTCAAGAGCTAGGGGAGTGCTCCTTCCTAGTCCACTGGAGCCCAATTTGATGGAATTAAAGACCCAGGGGATCCTCCTGTCCCACTCCCATCGATGGGAGGCTGTCAGTACCATGTCCCAGGTATAACCAGCACACACAGCACCCACATAAAAGCAAGCAGCAGTCATGTAAATATGAACAACTAATGGTCTAGTTCCTCCATTCTGGCTGATCAGGACTCAAGTTTGCCAGTGGAATATACGCACACCCTGACTGTTGTAATCCACAGGCACACTTGCATTTGTGGGTCATTCAGTCAGTACCGACTTTAATTTAATTTAATTTAATACAATATCCATGCCTAGCCTCTGCCCCCCTTACACAGTGACTGGCTCAAACCTTGGGTCTCTCTAGATGTAGATCTCCTACTTACCAGCCAGTCTAGCTTGAAGTTTCCTAATGGTTACACACCCCCTATGGGTCTCTCAGGGACTGGTCTGAGAGACTTCAGTTGCTGGCACCCATGTGATCTCTCTCTCTGCAGTGGCTGACACCCATCCTGTGCTACTTGCCAGCTAGTCCAGCATGAAGTTTGCTAGCATTTGCATGCATGCAGGCTCAGAATAAGGATTGCACTTACACAGAAGATGGTTAGAGATAGGATTTAATAAGAATGTGCAATAGACTCATTTAGACAGGTGCTTACATGCACCTATTTCCTTTCATCCCCTCTCTTCTCCATTTGCCTATGCTTCTTCCTCCCAGATCCACATTTGTCCCATCCCCTAAACATCCTGTAAGTTTTCCACATGCCCACAATGCCCTTAAAACATGCCATAATGTTTTACACAATCCAAAGTCTCTCTTTTCTCTGTTGAAAAATTATCTGCCCCGTGCCAGCTTACTGTCCTTTTAGGCAGCAATCGCCCCTAGTCTGCAGGGCATCCTGGAAGGGGAGGTTTTCTCGTTGAGGCTTCCTGGTAGGTTTCCCATCAGAAACTGTGGCTGAAACATTCTCCTTCAATGGTCTTAGGAGCAGCAGATTCAGTGGCTTCTGTTCTCCACTGATTAGGTTACTTTGGTTCCACCATCTATCATTGTCCTTTTGATTATCGCCAGGTCTTTGTGTTTAATTTGATTAGCCTTTAGTCAAATAACCTAAAACCAGTAAAATTCATAATAAAATGTATCTGGGTTAGGCCAGATAATCTATTTTCATCATTAGCTTCTTTTCTTGGCATTTCTTGTCCTAAAGACTTTCCTCGAACTGTATAGCTCGTTGTAACATAATTCAGAAAGGAGAACACTGCTTTACCGATATCATTTCTTATCCACTTTATATTCTTCGTGCCTTCTCAGTGTTCCCACCTAGTTTTGCCCCTAATCCAACTTAAAATATTCCAGCTACTTCTAAACTTCCACAAAATCACAGAACAATATAGTCTTTAGGATAAGGAATTCCAAGAACAGAAGCTAATGATGAAAATAAATTATCTGGCCTAAACCAGATACATTTTATTATGGATTTTACTGTTGTAGTAAAGCTCCAGGTGTGCTATAACAAAGGCAAAGAGTAATTTAAGGCATGATTTCATGACTGGTTTAATTTGCCATAAATCCATGCTCCCTGACTCATTAGGTTTTAGGCAGACTAGACATAACTGAATGATCATTTTCACACAGATCCATTCCCTGTGTCCAGCTGAACACTTGCCTTCTGTATCAACAGCAGCAATCTAGGCTTTGTGCTTTTTACTTTATTGAAGTGGTAAGGATGATAAAACTGTTCTAAAATCTACATGTCAATTCAAATTATCTTGAAATTTGCTATGTACTTTGGGGTGGAGAACAAGGTTTGGAAGTTCAAAAAGGCATTTGAGCAGAAGTTTCACACTCAAAAATGCACGTTCTTTGAGTTTATGTGGTTTTGGTTTGTTTTTTTTTTAATGTCCATCCTTGAGATTCTGATTATTGCTTTGACCTTTCTGAAACTGACTTCATTCACTGAGAATCTGTCCAATCCCGTATGCAAAACTCCCTGTCATAAAAGGAAACAATATATGAAAAAAGTTCTAGATATACAGTTGACTCATCCAAATAGTGTGTAATTGGGAGGGAGATAGTTATGTGCAGTATGACAAGGACCTTCATCTAAACTACATCACATGTGTTGGGTAATAGGGTAATTTAGCATGACGTGCTGTACCTATTGAACCTGAATAATGGGTAAGTGCTGTAAATTAAGTCCTATATTTGGTAGCTTTTTAGTGCTTGAGTTCTCATTTCAGAGAATTCCTGTACTTGTATCTCTGTTGATTGCTGTGGCTACGGTGAAAACAATATGTAAAGTGATGTCTGATAATATTAAGTAAATAGAGAAAAAGAGGTGATAAAAAGCAAATACTTCTGTGGGACTGTCGTGTTCCTTAACTTTTCATTGCCTTTTTTACAGATGTTTCAGTATAGCTGAAAATGACATTTGGAAAGGGCACAAGATGCTTCTAGCCAACCTTATCTCTTCATTGCTAAAGTTTTGGGAAAATTAATATTTATTGGATGTGCCACAAATTGTTGTTTATTCTGTGTGAGCATCTTTTGCCTCTAGGCGTTATGCATGTATGAATGGAGGCTATTGCAATGTTCTTGGAAACAGGTTAAGTTAGAGTTTTTTATTGTTAATTTTTGCCACTATATAAGAAGAAATTTCTATTCACTAAGTACAATTTGAGTCAAATTGTAAGTCTGATTGTTGTATGAAATGCTTATTTGTTTTCTAAATAGTTTTAGGGAAGGTTGATTTGCTTTGCTGAGTTACCTTTCACTTAAAATGAATTATCAAACAAGTCTTCAAACAAATGAAAGAAAACCCCAGAAACCCCACAATTTTATAGACTGCCAGGGATATATCTATTTATATGCCTTTATCCTGCGTGAGAAAACCTTTGTCTCTGTCAAAGACTTCGCAGAGTCATTATCTACATTTTGAAGTTTCCAGAGGCTACTAAATATTGCTCTTTCAATTGAAGTAGGGGAAGTCAGTTTGTTTGCTTGTTTTTTACTGATATTCAAGATAATGACAGTGCTGTCAACTCTGTATTTGCTATTATTAGTAATATATATTGAATGTTTAATAAAGTACTTGCAACTTATAATTATTTAACAGAATTGATATTGTGGCAGATATTTTAATTAAATTTGCATTTAGTTTCATGTATAATGATCTGTAACTCTTATGAGATATGATATATATGATATGATAGTTGAATACTTCTGTACAATGTGTCAAGATTGATTCTGCCCTCAATCTTGAGCCTTCTTAATTCTGCCCTTTTTTATAGTAATTAAATATACTAAAGCTATTCTTGTTTTCTCTTTTTTAAACTCTTTGCACTTAGCAATGTAGCAAGAAAACATCAGCTTCATTGTTGTGGATCCTGAAATCATCTGGAATAATTGCAAACCGTCCTTGGCCACGGATCACTCTTACATTGACAACCACTGCTATAGTATTAACTATGGCTGTATTCAACATGGTAAGGGAGAAAGGGGTAATTTTTCTTGGGTTTTTTGTTCTTTTAAGATTTTTTTTTTGTTCAGTATTTGTTCAGATGTCAAACTTATGGCTTATAGCTATGCCAGGAACCTACATGATAGCAATTGCCAGAGACAGAAATGTAAAGCAGAGCAACAGAAAACATACTGTATCATCAGGACCTCTGCAAACAGAATACTCAGCAAGAGCTTGGATCTTGTCTAAGTTTATTAAAGAAAAATGTAATTTATAAGGAATAGAAGATAGTTAAATCCCAGGTTTGAATTGTTCAAATCCCTATGCATTGCTTAGAAAAATGGAGTATTGCTCAAAGAATGAACTATCTCTTCACAGGATGCGTGGAAGACTTTGTGCAAAACAAACTAAGTTTTTTTCAGATTTGTGCTGCTCCTCTGATGATCAGAAAATGATCATAATGTATACATTATTGAATTTCACACGCTTGTCTTTTTTTTTTTTTTTGAAAAAGGAAAAAAATTCAAAGGTACATTGAAACTTCAAAAGTGCTGAACTACAAGTTTGTCAGGGCTTACCTCTACTTTAGGCATTTCCACCTGTGCTTTTCTTTTCTCTCCTAATAGGGAAAATCCATGTAATTCTACTATTCTTTTGTAACTATAGCAAATACAGAGTAGATCTGTCAGTCTGCATAAAGCCTGAATCTTAATGTCCTCATTTATTCCGGAGGATGTGTTGTCTAATGGGATGATCAGTATATGGCATCAAAACTTCCTTTGTTTTGTCCTATTGGCTGAGCCTGGTTCTATTCATAAACCTGTGAAAGTGTTCCAGCTCAGTTCCATATTTGCAAAATGGGAACTGTAATATTTATTTAGGTAATGTTTTCATTACACCATTAATTCATAGATATTAGTCACATTTCAAGTGAGTGAGATTTGCACTTCAGTGCTTTTGAAATTGCAGCTCTAGCACTTCCTTGAGTTGCTGGTACTTTTGTTACTTGAGGTTCATAAAGGACTTAAAGATTGTTAATACCTAAACTGTTTTGTTTTCCCACAACATTTCGGGGACCCTTAGTCAATCATTTGTTACAATAAGTACTAACCTTGTCAGAATGATGTGATGATGTAATGTGGGCTTTTAAAGGTGAACACTTGAAATTTCTGGTAGAACCTTCTCTCCATTTTTCCTATTAAATGATCCTAGTCTTGTTTTTGTTGGTTTTCTTTTCAGGAAAGTAGATATTTTCCTATCTTTCTCCTGCTTTTTTTAAGGACAGGAGATAGACTCAAAAACAATTTCGCGTTCAAGAATTTAAAATTCAGTTAATTGAATTTGGTGTTTAAGGCTGGTAGAGGAAAAACTAAAAGAAGCAGTGGCTGGGAAACGAGAAAATAAGCTCACTTTTTAGCAGTGAAGGCAGTTAGCAATGGGAACAATTTATGCTGAAAAGTTGTTGATTCTCCATCACTTCTTGTCCTCAGCTGAAGACTATATGCCTTTATGAATGATAACCTTTAGCCAAGCAAAAGTTATCTGGCATACTACAGGACAAAACCCAGAGATGGAGCAGCTTGTAAAATGTAGGTCAGATTAGACTTTCTCATATTTTGAACTATATAAATGTATAAGATGACATGAAATAACCTACTTGGGTTTAAAGTATACTTTGAGTTAGAGGTCATGCAACCATATGGTTAGTTATTAAGCTAAAAAGTGTAAAAGAAGATATGGCCAGCAACTGTTTTTTCCTTAGACTGAAGTTCTACTATTGTGTGCTGTGCACTTCAAATTTGGCCTTCAACTAGTAAAAGACATTTTAGCAAAAAAGCAGTTCCTCAGTACATCATTTTAAGGAAAAGTTTGTAGTTTTATTGGTTCAAGTCCACTTTTATGTGGACTGAATGTTACAATAAAACTTAATAGTCTGTATTTTAAAGTCTTTGTGCCTTATCAGTAATGACTGCAGTATTACAAATAATCATGTTCCATGATATTCATGAGATGATAATTTTAAGTACAATTCCCACCTTGAAACTAAACCTTAATAGTTTGACTAGCAAAAATGACTTTAAATGTAATTGTGAAATTTGCATTTCCTTAATATTAATAGCAAATTGTGGGAGAGACTCTGAAGTATCATTATTATATCTCCAAGCAACATGTACTTAATAGCAGAGTCCATTAACTGCATTTATTTCCATGAACTCTTTCAGTAGAAAAAGGCAAAATGTAGCCATTAAGATTTAATGCAGATAAAAAGCGTCTAACCATCCCACACCTAATAAATCATAATTAAGACCAAAATGTCAAATAAAACTCAGTCTTTTTGGTCAAGGGACATTAGAAAAGAGTGGGGGTGCGATTTTATTTTGAAATTAGCTGTTTCGGCAGACATCTGAATCTAGTCTTCACATTTGAGAGGTATATAGTCATGATCAGTGGAGGGAAGTTAAAAAACAGCTAATGTGACATAAGTATCAAATACTTCATAGCTGAAGGGAGAGGGTGACTAATGCTGCTTCCATTGAGCATTAGATCTGGTGCCATACATAGAGTAGCGCAACAATCAGTGGCTGAGGAAAACTCTTTTTGTGAAGCTGACCTGCATTAAACCTAACATGAGAAAGTATATTGCAGGGAACAATCCAGACATCTCGGAGAGACAGTAGGGCTGCATGACTGCAAAGAGTTGATTCTTGGAAGCTGAATTAATAACTGTATGCAATACATCAAATGATTGTGCCTCACTGTCCTCTGAGATTCATGTGATCTCAAGGAACATGGCATGATGAAAGAGCCCTGGAACAACTCTTTGTTTCAGTGACTTCTGCATCAAATGCATGAATGGTTCTTGGCACAGCAACAAGATCTCAGGGCTGTACTGTCCCAGGAAGGTGCCCTAACTACCAGCTTTCAGACTCAGGATCACAGAATCTTAGAACAGTTTGGGTTGGAAGGCACCTTTAGAGGTCATCTAGCCCAACCCCCCTGCAGTGAGCAGGGACAGCTTTAACCAGATCAGGTTGCTCAGAGCCCCGTCCAACCTGACCTTGAATGTTGCCAGGGATGGGGCCTCCACTACTTCTCTGGGCAACTTGTTCTGGTGTTTCACTACCCTCATTGTAAAAAATTTCTTCCTTCGAAGAAGAAGAAATCTAGTCTAAATGTACCCTCTTTTAGTTTAAAACCATTACCCCTTGTCCTATAGCAACAGGCCCTGCTAAAAAGTTTGTCCCCATCTTTCTTGTAAGCCCCCTTTAAGTATTGAAAGGCCGCAATAAGGTCTCCCTGGAGCCTTCTTTTCTCCAGGCTGAACAACCCCATCTCTCTCAACCTTTCTTCATAGGAGAGGTGTTCCATCCCTCTGATAATTTTTGTGTCCCTCCTCTGGATGTTACTTGCTTTCCTGTATTTCATCCAGTGAATTTTGAACAACTGGACTATTTCCTTTGAAAGAACAAGTCTTTAGAAATGTGACAGAGGCTTGAGTATTTTTGCTCCATTGTTTAATGTACGTCTGTGAGCACAAGCTGCCTTAAATGATGCAAGTATTGGCCCCATATTGTTCTCCCTCTAGTCATGGCTGATATCTCATGTTTTAATAATGACAAATAATTAAGCAAACTTGCTTCCATTCTCATAGTAGAAAGCTGCTTTCTTTAATATACCTTCCTTTTAGTGTAGCTAACTCTGTTAATATGGTTGCTGACCTTGCTTAGTGCTATATTTTTAATAGTCAAGCTCTTTGGCAGGTAGGCTCTAGTTATATGTCCCCACAGTGCCTAGCACATTGAAGACCCTTTTTTGGAGGGTGGCTAATGCATTTCTTTTAAGAACACACAGACACTGCCTAGAGCTTGACCTGGCCTAGGAGTTGGAAGGAGGCAAGGGAATGCACAGGTGCAGTCATGTCATTTAAGCAGTACATGCAGGGCCCCATCACAAATCCATTCCAGATTATAGATAGGATTTAAGAAACTTACTAAGATCAGTATCAGTCTAGGTACACTGGACTAGCAGAGATGCACTAGCAGGTGAGATACCATCCTGAAATAATATTTACAGCAGTTCTGGTGTCTTCCAAGTGTGTGGGGAGAGAAAGAGTCATGCTGTCACATGATTGTTTGCTCCACAGTCCAGCAAAGATTAATCCACATAAATGAGCATCACTCCTTATCTGTCAAATATCACGATGGTATCTCAGTCTGTAAAGGCCCAGCAGGCTCCTCGTCTCTCTTACCTAATGCTGCTGGGAGCTTTGAACAAGGCAGTTGCTTGCCACTGCATATCGCCTCTAGAGGGAGGCTGGGACTTGAATACATGGGGACACATAGATAGTTATGCATTTTCACTTGGCACACAAACTTTTATAAAAAATGAAATAAAATTATTGAGCAACTTGAATTTGGTAAGTTTGACTATTAACAAGAGACACACCACAGGACACCAAATAACTTAGGTGCATGAGCACTTTAAAGCTAAGAAGTCTTGTACAAACCCAGAGACAAAATGCTCTAAAAATCCAATTGAATGCAGTGCAGTACTCTCTGGATCTTCATCAACCTTTTCCAACTTACCAATATCTCAGCATCACCTCTTATTTATTCAAAAAATGCTTAGTAGTCTAGGTGGGTACTTAGCATTCCAGGCTCTCCTTAAACTGCTTCTTATGAGCTTGTGAAGATGAGGAATACCACAATTTAGGATTCTCCATATTATTCTTGGAGTATTTATGTGGGGATCTGGGGATAAATTCCTGATTCAGCTGCCAGAACAACTGGCATTTTTCAAAGGAAGCAGTGATATGCATTTTGAGAAGAAAGTTCTTCTAAGCCACATGGATATTTGGAGAGCTGGTAGAAAAATTAAAAACAAAGAAGAGTGCTGCACTTGTGCCTTAGAGGTTCATACAAAAGAGCAATGCTGAACAAAAGCATCATTGCTTCACTTTTTTTGTGTTAAGAAAAATGTAAATCCTCTAGTTCAACCTATGATACCAGACTTGCATGCTTCTGC